TTAGCTTAACCAATTCTGATTATTTTTTTCTTGAAAATCGCTGAATGTTCGCATTTTCCCATTCAAATGCTCTGAAGCTCAGCAGGTGAGGCAGCAGGAAGCTGAGCCTCACCTGGGACTGATCAACCTCTCTAACTGCGCTGGCTGCCATTCGATGGGAGCATGCTCCTCCTGTCTGTTCGTCGCCAATAAAATGGTTAAAAACATTTAATTAGTGTGAATGCCTGCAGCATTCACACTATTTTTCTGGTTGCTCCATAAACTTCGCTGCGCTTCTTCTCCTGTATACTTTGTGATATTTTCACCATCCAACTTCTATACTATTCCTTTTGCTCTCCTAATGCCTGCTTTATCTCTTGGTATTCATAACCTTCATACTTTTTATAATATTCACCTTTTTATGAAATTTTCTCCCCATGGGGGAAAACTGCTCCATCCTGTGGCAGAATTGAGAATTACAATATAAAATGTCCGTTGTGTTTCACAGCTGATATTTTAGGTCCTGCCTATTAATGGCAAATAATCATCTAGTTTCAGGGCCGTGACGGAGGAAATAAGGCAGCGGCCATTTTGAAGTTGGGCAGTATAACAGCTCTCATGCTGTTTAACAGCTGGGAATAATTTGATCTTTTTTCTCCCTGCATGTTGCATGTTTTTTGTAGTCACCGTGCTAAACGATGCCTCCAAACAAATGTTTTATCTCAGGAACCATAAAAGGTTTATTCACCCACCGTTTTTTTTTAGAAGGAACAGGGGAATGTTTCTGTCATTTTCACATTTTAGGGTTACATGAGTTTTGTTTCTTTTTACATTGCAAGGAATATATTACTGTAACCAGCATGCTAGTGGTAGCCTAGATGCTATCATTAGTATTTTAGCTAGTTTTAGATTTTTAGCTAATTTTTACCTGGTTTTTTTTTTACATTGTTTCTTGCATTTCTGCAAGTCTTCAGCAGGTGACTTCAGACGCTTTTGCCATTTTCACCAAAAGCATTCAGCATTCACACTTTGCATTTTCATAGGAAATGAACACTTTCTAGCTTATGAACTGATTTCCCATAATTTAGCTTATGTGTATAATGTACAGTGTTTTTGTCACCAGCTGTGTGTGTAACGTGGTTCGTGTGCTGAGGAGCGATCAGAAACGGCAGAGATCAGACTCGAGGTGAAGCAGGCAGTTCTCTGGCCTCATGGCAGGGGGCGCTTATGATCCCACACATTGTGACTCCGTGTCTGCAGAGTAAGCTAGCGATACAGTAAATATGTGAAGCTACACGCAACGACTCTACGTGCAGCTTGGCCGATACAGAGAGCAAGAAAAAGAATTAATAATATCTGTATTTCCAAGTTTGATTGAGTTAACAGAGTTATTCTACCATGGCAGGCGGCTATGGATGACATGTGAAAGTATATCTTTCTGTCCTTCAATGTTGTCCGCATGCGCGAAATGTCCGTATGTGAACAATAATATGCAGGGGGTCTTATGATTTTGATCAGTTAGAGCCTCATCGGTCCATGTAAAGGACTACAGGTTGGGATCCAAACCCAGGACCTTTCTGCAGCAAGGCAGCAGTTCTACTACAGAGTCTGAACTTTTTAAAATGAGATGTGACTCTTTCCAAGCCGGATCTCCTGCTGCTCCTCCTGCAATAGGTGGGCCCCTCCCTCCGCCTCTGTCATTGTGTCCTTGGGCAAGATGCTTCACCTTTTACAGCAGGGGGCGCTGGTGCATGACGGCTCACTCCTGACTGCCCTTTGGTGGCAAGATACTGGATTATCTGTTCCCTGAGACTTCCAGCCAAGCTGATGCTGATTCCTGGCTCAGGATGAGGAAAGTCAGACCTGTGGCATTCTGGGAGTGAGAGACTGTTGGATTAAAGCGTCTGGATAATCCCTCCATGGCCGCTCTGGGAGAACGGCAGATTACATGAGAGCCAGACGGAGAGAGCAAGTTAATCTGACAGCCGTCTCTCTGGCCGCCCGCCACCATGTTGGCCTCATTTCCTCCATGTTCCTCTTCCATGTTCTTCCATGTTTCTCCTCCATGTTCCTCCATTTTCTTCCATGTTCTTCCATGTTTCTCCTCCATGTTCCTCCATGTTCTTCCATGTTCCTCCATTTTCCTCCATGTTCCTCCTCCATGTTTCTCCTCCATGTTCCTCCTCCATGTTCCTCCATGTTCCTCCATTTTCTTCCATGTTCCTCCTCCATGTTCCTCCATGTTCCTCCTCCTCTGATGAAGAGCTGCCTGGTCCAGCCCCTGACCCGGTTCTGTTCAGGTTTCCAGCAGCAGCTCAGTTCTCTGCAGGCTCTTTCAGAACCTTTATTTGTGTCTTTTGCAGAGCGTCTGTTTGTGCGGTTATATTTAGAGCAGCTCTGATTTCCCGCCTGGAGCCGCTCTCCGTCTCTTGATGCATGCGGCGCGTCTTTCATGCGGCGCGCTGCCTGGCTCCCAGCGGGCCGCTTCCTCTCAGACTGACGGCCGCTCGCAGGTTTCAGAACAGGTGAAATATGAAGGAAACGCTTCGTGTGAACTCATTCTGTCACTTCTGCTTCTGTTCCTCATGTTATTCTAATCATATTCATGAAGTATTAATGTTTCAGCAAACATCTCTGAGTCCCTGAACAAACCCAGACTGAGACTGTCACACAGCCAGCCGTTTAACACGCTGCCTTTAAAGAGACACAGCGGAAATAAATAACCAGCACAAAACGGAGAGCTTAATATTACAACATCCACTGTTAACGTTTCTATCTGCCAGGCTTATGGAAATCATTTAAAATCAGGATCGGATACAGAGAAAGGAAACCGAATAAACTGGGTGTAAAGGAAGGAGACAAATCTGCAGAAACAATAGCAAACATAAGGAGCCGNAANTNTCTCATTTAATAAGACATGAAACTCATTATAATGATATTTGTCTGGTTAAAGCCAAAATGTCTCCTTGTTTCAGTGACAGAGGTCAAAGAAACACGGAGAGGCAGATCGTTTAGATCTCATTATAATGATCCTGTTTCACTTTGGGTGCATGTTTAACACAAACCTGCTGGAGTTTAAAGGTGTGAACCTGTCAGGGAGCCTTTCTACCTGACAGGTTCCTCCATGTCAGTCAACATGCTAGCAATAGCCCACATGCTAACAGCATCACTTTAGCTAATCTTATCTTAGCTAATCTTACTAGAGCATCAACCCTTGTGAAGAATCAGCAATATTGTTTCCCAGCTAAAACACGGCTAGGTAGTCGTTGTCATGGTAACCGATCCGGCGGCAGCTCACCTGGTTGGAGATGAGGTCCTCGCAGACGGACAGCGCCATCTGGATGGCGTTGGGCTTGTGCGTGACGGAGATGGCGTTCATCTTGAACTTGTCCTTGCCGTAGAGGTCGTTTGCCTGCGTCACGGCGTCCTTGAACACCTGCTCATAGCGCTTCTGGCTCAGCACGGCGCCCACGTTCACCAGGCGCGGCTCGCAGCCGCACAGCGCCACCGAGCAGCAGTGCAGCACGGCCAGCAGCAGCACGCCACGGGCCGCCACTGGGGAGAGGAAGGGAACCACGGTTATCAACAGACAGGAAGTGGGCTGGACGCAGCACTTCCTGTTTACTTAGCAACACTTAACATCTGCAGGGTGGAGCTCAATGATGGGTGGGGCTTAGTATATGGGCGGGGTTTTCTAAGTGGGCGGGGTTTTATCAGCAGGGCCGAGCGCAAATCGTGACACCGCACCCACTAATGGCACTTCCGGTGGCAGGTGTCATTACGCGCCACAAGTGCCACTGTTTCCGGGGCTAGCTGCCAGTGTTGCCACCATAGACATTGCCACCATGGTTGCCACTGGCTTTGGCAAATGGACTACATATCCCATGATGCTTTATAACTAGAAGAAGAACTTGAAGACAGACGAAGAAGAAATAATTTTTCAGGGTTTTTTTTCGCAGAAAGATCT